GACGTTTCCCCAGGAGCCCCGGGGGGCGGGGCCGGGACCTGCCCCTGCTTGTGCACGGCACGGGTTCCTGCGCGGCTCCTCTCACCCGCCTTCGGGGCCGCGTCCGGCCGGCCCCGTCCACGTGCGTGGTCTCTACGCTGCTGCTTAGCAGCACCGGGGGGTTTCTGACCCGCACGCCAAAAAGAAGCGGGGCAGCGCCGCCCAAACCCGAGCCTAGCCCGCTACAGCCAAGCTGCGGCTGTCAACCCGGCTCCCTGCAGCAGCTGCAGCCCCCGGAGGCCCCTAGGTAAGGCTGCTGCTGGGGCCAGCACATTGCTGGCCCCCCGCTCCCCTTCCCCCCGCCAGAGCAGCGTGGCTCAGGCGTTCCCCGGGGACAAGCTGCCAGGCACATGGTGGGCTCCCACCTGCCCCGGGGGAAATGCATGTTCCTATTCCTCTGGCCAGGCCCAGTGGTTTTACAGGCTGGTAGGTCTGGCCACTTCAGGTTCAGGCTGTATTTAAACTGGACTGAGTGTTCCATGTGTCCATGCCCAGCAAGGATACCAGGAAAGTTTCCCCTACCCTCCCTGCAGGGATAAGACATTTGTGGCAAACTCTTGGAGTCATGCATCATTCCATTTAACTGTGCCCGGCAAAAAGAAGAGGACAAACCAAGTTGTTCTAATCAACATTTTACTTAAATTACTTCCAAAAACATCTCTGTAAGATGACACAAAATTACTGTACGCTAGCCTTTTACAATGTTAGCTACGGTAACCACTAAAAATCAAGTAGATAACAATGATATTGCCATACGAGTGATACCAAACCAAACAATTTAAAATTTACAAAGCACTGCACTCTCATTAGGCAAGAATATCTTTTTTTTTTTAGTGTAGCTTCACTAGGAAAAAAAGTGTCATTTATCACATTTCTGACTTCACATTGTTTGGCAAAAAGGCAGTGTGTTGTATGTCTTAAAATGCTAAGTTTTAATGCCTATGAATTTCTAAATGAATGAATTCTAGAAATGATGCAGCTTCAACTGAAACTAGATGCTCACACCAGATATGCAGATCTACAAAGAAAAAAAGGTTTAATTCAGCAAAAAGTACACATTGTCACAAGGTACCACAAACCTTGGAAACTGCCTGAGAGCTCCATTAAAATGTAAAACTCACAGGATTCATCCAAGTCTCATACTGTTCAGGAAACAAAGTGGACATATGTTCTGCGTATGTTCCCACTGAGGGTGGCAAACCTGATTCAGCATGAGATGAAGGCATGCATGCATACTTTTGGTTGGGACTACAATGTGTTTAAAACAAGAAAAGAAAAGCAACCTTTCAAAGAGTAGATTAACGAGTGTCCACACATAGGAGGCGGCAATGCTACCAGTATTTAAGAGCCAGCACCAAAAGAATGTTAAAAAGTTACACCCAAATACAATTTGCAAACATTTTCTGCTCCAGAGGTCTTTGGATATTTCTCTCTTTAAAGAGAGGGATCAATTTAGTACAGACTGAAGAGGCCAGTGAGGCCAAGAATATTTCACAGCACTATGCATAACAGCTCTACTTTCACATGTGCAACATGTGAAAATTGATATTTATTTCTTGTACTGCAGCAAGGAACAAGTTTGACCTTGAACTGTTTGTCTCCTACCCATAACTACACATCCTTGGGCGGGGGGGGCGGGGATTTTGCTACAAGGTCATTTGGTGAGACAAAATGCTTCAGTAGAAAAACTGACCTCAGTTCTGCCAAAGAGATTGGTTCCTTCCTCTGGTCCTCAGAGACGCAAGATAGGGAGACTGCCACTACAAGTCATAAGACTGCGGAAACTTAAGAGCACAGCACTTTCCTCCAAATGCGAAAGCCCTCATAGTGACTACAAAATAGACAGTTACATCTGTAAGGAAGTACAGAGCCCAAAATTTCTAGATGCCTAATTTTTGTGATGCTTCACTTTAAATCCTGCAGTATCCACAGCACTGAGAATGGTCTATGAAACTTCCCCTGTGCCTCATTATCAAGGGATTATTTACTGTCCCTTCTTTGCAAGTCCCTTGAATTTTACCAGAAGTAAACAACCTCTGTACACATAATGGAGTATGAAGAAGCAAAGTTATTATACCAAGAAGTTTCAAGACACCACCTTCGGTGTAAAATAAATGTAAGTTTGTTGGCTAAAATGGATTTATCTAGTTGCCTAGTAAAGCCTAAAGCACTGCCAATGAGTTGGAGATCTACAAGTATTTAGGCTCATCAGAACCTCCAAGCAGTTCTGTAACATCACACTGGCACTTCATTGTGGATGGCTGATGTCATGAAAGGAATACAATTTGACCCACTGTTGGAGTGATGTTAGTGCTACTTGTCACTTTCCCACAGCTACCTACCATTTGAGGTATTTTGTTAGAAAGTCCTTTGCTGATGTTTGTTCTTCTTCACAGAAGAGAAAGCCACATGAGGAAAAGGAGAGCCATAAGACAGACATTTTTTCCAGATTTAAATATCCTCTAAAGCTGTACATTACTCATGCAACAGTGCTTGGACTCCATTTTCTTCAAACACCCTGCATGATAACAAGTCTTACAACTCAGTGCATTTGCTGAGTGATCACAGGTGACTTGTTTGTAACAAACAACATTTACACCATTTGGCAGGACTTTACTAAAATTAGCATGGCTTGGCTCCTGCTGTTACTGGGTTTCAAAATCTCCCTGCTCTACACTGGAAGGGGGAGTTCAGGGCCTCTTCCCGAAGCATGCCATTGTCACTTCAAGAGGCAGCTCCTCTTGTGAAGAGGCAAGAATGTGAAGCAAACTAGGATGCACTACTGCTTTTAGAGAACAGGAGTCTGTTGTGCTTTTAAGCTCCGAGCTCAGACAAATTTGGACCACTAAATCTTGTAAGAAACAGGAATGTGACAGCTTTTTGTACCATGTTGTTCCTAAGGTTGCTCTTACTTTCTAGAAGTAATTCTCTACCTTACCAAGTAAATTTTAATTCTCAGAGGACACAGTCAGAACCTCAGAAAGGAACAGGATGAGTCCAGCATATCAGTTTTAACCTCTTAAGCCAGTGGTGCTCAACCTCTCCAGCCCCACAAGCTGAACAAGTAGTGCAGGGCCAGATCCTAAGCACAGGGATTGTCCATGGGCCTGATCTCACCCAGGGTTGATTCACTAATACAATCCAGTATAACCCCACATGGTGCAACCTTATGCACCGAATCTGGCTTTGGCCTGATTCCATACACTAGATTCAGTCATGGAGATGGCACACCAGGGTGGTCCAGCACATGGAACCATGTTATCCAGACCACAGGATTCCCCACAAGTTCAGAAATTTTGGAGCAAGGGAACAGTGGCAGCTTTAATTGCCATGATTCTAGGAGCAACTAATGCTGCTACCACTCCTCCATCACCAAATTTCTGGACCCATGGGATGACATGGCTCCCTGGGCCAGAGGTTGAGTACCACTGTCTTAAACCTCCTAACCAGGGTTAATGGCTTCAAGCTATTTAAAGTGCTAATGGCTCATTCAGTTATTGCTCCCAATTAGGAACACTCTAGTCTTCTACACGTGTTGCAGCCCCCTCTGACAGGCAGTGTACTGACATGAAAGTTATAATTGCAATGACAGGAGATTTCCAACATGGCAGCCTATGCAGAGCACTGTCAATCAGATATCCATGGTATCAAATCATTTCAGCCACCCTGAATACTAGCATTGAGGCAAGTTAAACTTTTAATGCTTTAACAACTCTTGTTCAACGAGCTTAGAAAGCAAAATTATTTGCTTTCATATAGTCATAACTGGTCATAATAACTATGTCCAAGTTACCACCTCTAAGGTTTTGGGAGGGGTAGGAGGAAGGTGAACTGTTTCAAATGGAATATCCTTGCTGAACTACAATTAAAATTTATTTTTATATAAGCAGGCTGCTGACACTAACTGTGTGTGAAGCCTCCACATAAATTTCACATTTTACTCATCACCTGACAGCCAAGTGACTTCCCAATTCAAATACAATATTAGCCTCTTTCCATCCTGCATCTTATATGGACAAGATGGCCCGAAAAGCAGCTTTCCTGAACTAACATGAGCAAATGAAAATGAGCTTCAACAAGAAGTGGTTTCCCTGACGAAGTAAATTGCTGGCTGCACAACTGTAATCCACTATGGCTTAAGAAATACAATGGGAAAGTTTAGCAACAAGGGAAAAGTTGAATGGCTCAGGCCAGTCAGTTTACAGAGCTTTTTCCCTCCAGGTTGCTGGTTTGAGTCTGTAAATGACCAAACTCATTATCTGGCAGCTGTTTGGTCATTTCAGTGCCACAGGCTGGTGGCCTCTGTTCTATTCCTACCGGGCATATGTCATTTCTACATCACAGTGGACCAGAGGCCAAGGAGAGAATGGGCTAAGCAGCCCAAATCCTCTCCCACATTCCTACAGAAAGTCCCCCCACAGTAGCTAAGTAGTCACATGACAAGGCATTGTCACAGAAATGTAGTATTGCTACTGCCCAGGCTGCACCTATTCTGGAGTAAAACTGGGAAGTTTAGTTAGCAGATTTTAGATCTAGAACTAACTCCATTCATTTCAGAAATGCAAATGCAATAGCAGCTGCTGCACATAGATGATCTTGGAAGGAGTCTAGCCATCACAGTTGATGTTTTATTGCCATTGTCTTACAAAACAGCATAACTAGAAAGCATCATTTTTGAGGAAATACAAGTTGTTATTAAAAGTGCAACAGTAAAAGTTGTGGGATACTGTTTTAGTTATGAAGTTTGCAATAAGTAAATGATCGGGAGGTTAGCTTCTACCCAAGAGCTAGATACTGAGGGAAGAAATGTCAGAGTCTGTGCACAGGAGTAGAAAGAACTAAAAACAAAACCAAAAACAACCAACCTTAAAATATCTAGGTTACAGTATTTAAAGAGGAAGCCAGTCCTGTTCACCTTTTGTTGTAGGTCTACATGAAGGAGGCTGAGCTGCAAGAAACTCTTAATTGACACTTAAGTCTGTTTGACTGAGGGAGCACTGGAGTTGCAGACCCACAATGCAAGTATTAAGTGAGCAGGTTTGGGGCAAGAAGAATCACAGTAGACAATGCAGAATGATGTGTGTGATCATGAGGCTATCCCATCAAAAGCCTTTTCCCTGCCAGTTACCAGAGTGGTTCATTTTAAAATCCAAGCTAGCCCTCTACAATGTCAAGTCACAGTGATGTACCCAGCTAGGATTGGCTGCCAGAACACTGGTACCCAACACAGGAAACAGTTCAGGTGACTGGACAATGCTTTTCCTTTGAAGATTCCCCTTCACTATGCATGATAGAAAAATGAGGAGGGAGAGAGAGGAGATTGCTTAATGGCCTCGCGAGCCTGCAGGATCCAACTGGTTCAGCTCCGACTGATCCAAGAGTTCAAAGTCATCCCCTTCTGCATCAGTGTCCAAGTCAGAGCTGGAGGTTCTGAGATAAGTCTTTGTGCCTCTCTGGGAATTGTCACTGTATGCAGGGCCTGACTGGGAGGCTCCTGACAAAGCTAATTGTATCATTCCCCTGGTGACAAATCCAGCTAAGTTATTTGTAAGATGGTGTGCAGATGGTAGTAGACCAACAACTTCTTGGTCATAAGGGGGGCGCAGATCTTCTGTGCCTTGGGAACGGTAAGCAAGGCTTGGAATCCCAATGCTGGTGTCATCCTCATCATCTATTCCAGTCACCTCTGGATTTATGGAAGGGAAGTCAGGGAGATCCCTGGCAAAAGACTCTTCTGGGTCACTATGACCATCCAGGTCTAAAATAAGAGAGACACAAAAGTTAGGCATGATAGGAGACAAAAGTTAAACATAACACACAAGTTTCCAAGTTCCCCAGGAAAGCGCAGCTGAGATAATACCATGCCAGTCCCTTGCAGAGCTCAGCATTACCCTATTCTCCCTCTTCTGAGGCTAAAGATAGCGGTGCTTGTTTCATTTACTAACTCCTTTTCCAAGAGGGCTGCTTGAATGCTGCAGATATGTCTGATGTCAACACAAACTTCCTCCTGGGACTCTTTCCCAGTGATCAACCAGTATGTAGTCAGCTGCTGAACTTCAGAGAATCAGGACTTGTTCACATGAAAGTTGCACTGGCTTACCCCATGAAGTTTTACTTTAAACCAGTTTTATTAAAATGGTACAAATCCTTGCATTGGCCCTTATTTCCGTTTACCCCAGGCATACATTCATTTACCTCAAATTAATTAGAAACTGGGTTAACTGGAAGCCAGTAAGAGTTCTACACTGATTTATGAAATGGGTAAAATATGCTTTTGCTTAAATTGTTGCAACTTTATTATGCTGGCAATGTTATACTCTCACTGCACTAATCATGAAAGACACGTTAGAACACCTTACAGATAACCTAACCTGACAGCCTATGTTCTCTCTATAACTGCAGACAGTCTTTTAATATTCTTTGAAAGACAGACTGACAAAGTCCTAAACCCATTACTTTGTTCAGTATCAGAGTTCATGGTGAAACACTTATTTCTAAACTGAATCTGCTCTTCTAAGAAACATCTGCCATTGTCTTCCTGAAGCTTTCTGTTCAAACTGGACAAGGACTCCACCGTGTTCTAGCCACAAAGTGGATTTCACTGGGAAAAGCCAGACTTCAACTCTCAGGACAGAACACAAGCCAGATGTGTTCTCTACCATCCATCACACTGCAACATGATAAACAGCTTATTTAGGACTTATATAGCAGCTACCCCTTTTCTCTCACCTTCAGATCCCTCAGTCAGTGGAGTTTGGCCTCTTGACAAGTTAAATGTCGCATTCTCAGTGTAGGAAACTTCAGCGTCTGAATGCTCAGAATCAGAGATGGTCAGTTCCTTGGCAACTACAGAATCATCCAGCTTTGAAACAGAAGAAAATACAATTGAGCACATTACTGCTGGCTGGACTGAAGATGATTTATTCATGCTCCAAGCTGGAAAGATTCTGATGACCCAGCAACCTACAGAAAAATGCAATCCCATCTCTTACACTCCTTTGCAGGGATTGCTGAGGAGAGAGATATTAAGTTCCTTGTAAGTTAGAGGACATGCAATGCAAACCACCTGCCCCTCGCTACTCTTATACCACTGAAGGCCCCAAATCAAAAGCAAAAATCAAGCTTTAGAAGTAATCTGTCAAGGAACCTTAGGGGATGAATAGCATAAATAGTTCTTTGGGGAGTTTAAGAGAGAAGTTTGCAGATTGAAGTCCAAAAAGGAAAATACCATTTCAGAGCTTTAACTCCACATTCTCATACTTAGGCATCTTAGATCAAGAGGGGTGAGAAGACCAGAGATCCACAGCACTCAGGTTTCTAAACATAAGACCAGGCCATGTGCAAGAGCCTGAGGTTAGACTCTGCCAAAACTTTCCTCCCAACCAGAATATCCTAGGCTTGGGGCCAGACTGCATTCCAGGGCTGCAGTTTCTCTGCATGCCCAAATAAACTGAAAGTCCACCAGCACACTAAAAGCATTTTTTCCCCTCCAAGTTTTGAGGTTTCCTCCATTTCTTAAGCACATCACCTTACCTTGGGACAGAATGCAGCAAGCTCCTCTTCGCTGTCACTCCCATCGTCAGGAGGGTGCTGATTTGACGCTTGTTGACGCACTGCCATGAATTGGAGCAGAAATAAATGATTACTCCCAGAGCACAGCATTTCTATGCACTCTATCAGACCGAGTAAAACTCTTCAAATGAGCACAGTTTGTATCTAAATTGGTCACAAAAAATGGCACTGGACAACTGCCACTTACACATTCTGGTTTGGGTTGTGCCAAGATTGAGATATACTCAGCAAAACCCTTGCAATGGAGAGGAAGAAGTTACAGACAAAACCAGCTTTTTCAAAATTAAGACTCCATATTAAAGATTACCCGACTTTCTCACACAGAACATGCACTTCCCCGCTACAAACTAGCTGCTAGAAATTGTAGCGTGCATTACATATGAGAAGAGAAAAAGAAAAAAAAGGGTAAGAACAGCTTCTGCTGGTAAGGGCTCTGCTTGTTAACTACTGCTACTCACTTACAACAAGAAAAGATTTTTTTTTTTTGTTCTTTCTGCCTTTAAAGAACAAGGCGTGCATTACATTTTAGTTGTGCTGTATGCAAGAAAATATAGTACACTCCAGTGGTTAAAAAAGGAGGAAAAGCATGGAGCCTTTTGAATTTATACCTAAAAGTAAATGAACCCAGTAACTGTGTGGTGGACACTGATCAGAATGCTATGAATGTTTGACAAGGGGAAATCAGAGCTGTGCAACACAGGCAGTAGTTGTCAAACTACAAGATTGGGGATGCATTTTAGTGACCAGTCCAGAATCCAGCTGTGTGGCTCATTTTAGCTACTTTTTTGGAGACTTACATTGCCTCTCTCGCTGTTTTGACATCATGTAACCTTGAACACTGAAGTCCAGCCGCTGCAGAGCTGGCTCCAGCTTCACGTACACACGCTGCCCCAGTTTGTGGTACACTGCCAGGGGCCACAGCAGAATGAAGAGCACTAAGGCAAAAAAAGGAAGTTGTTAGAAACTTGTTCAGTATGCAACTTAGCAGATCCATTACTGAGTGCTTTCAAATGTGGGACACCAGGTACAACAGAACCCAGATCATTCATACCCACGTGGGTCATAACCCACTTAACTTGCAGTGGGTTGCCGAATGAAGAACAGGACACTGGTTTTCCAGTCAGCTGGTGTACCTCAGTGGTTCCCTATATAGCTGTTTCCTTCTGCTCTGCATACCTGGTTTACTTTGCAAACCCTCAGCTTCACAGGAGACCTAACCCTGCAAAATATCGAGGTTCTGCTGTATAGCACAACAACAGTAAAGTACTATACTCTGAATCAATGCTGTAGGGGATGGGCAGTTAGCAGTTATACAGGCTCATTCAACAAAATAAATAAGAGATGCAAAATGCTAGTGTTCAGTATCAGTACAGCCCCAGTGTCCCAAACATACTGTTGATACAAAGATGTTGAAGAGCTGGACAGTAATGACTACATTCCAGGTGAATTTGTTCTGCTATTAAATTTCAATCAGCCACACCAGCTTCACTACTGAAACCAAATTAGCAATATCAGCTCCTCCCATAGCATTTACAAAACCTTTGGGTTTGGGAATCTTGTACTTACACATAAGGTAGGAGAGCAAGAGTCCAGGGATGTAACGGCCCAGAACAGTCAAGAAAGTAAAGACACCACATGCTAAAAGGCAAAACTGCAGGCAGAGAAGACAATGTAAGTTTCCACTGTATTATAAAAAAAAAAACTGAATCAAGTGATTTCAACCTAATACAACAACCATCTTCTCATATCAACAAAGCTGTTCTGATACTCTAAACAGAACAGGATTGCTGAACAAGATTAGAAGAAGCAAGCCTCTAAGAAACTCTGTCTCTTATTCTATGATACCTTAACATGGCAAAGAAAAGACTGCTCTCCACAGTATCCTGTCCTAGGGTACTAATCTCATATCCTATGGAAGGCAGCTGATAAGCTAAAACATGACAGTGTGTACAGTGATAGATCTTCCTGAAGACGTGATCAGTTAGAGAAGTGTAAGTATACAGACTTGAATATTTCCTTTCCAAAGAGAACGGTTACAATGCCAATACAAGTTCTTTTTTCAGTAAGACTTCGGACTAATTTTTCAAAAAGTTCATAAAGCAGGCTTAACACAGAAAGTGAGCCACAGACCTGTTGTAGTAGTAACAAGCTCTTCAAAACTACTACTAAAGAAAAGTAGTTATATTCACACAAAACAGAAAGTGAAATCAACCAGAGCGCAGACAGGCTTCTGCCCTAGTGCACAAGTAACAAAGTGAAATGCCCCAAAATAGTACCTCATCTTAAAAAAAGTAGTATTTTGCAGCATTTCAGCAGCTTCTATAATATTTCAACAGGCGTATAGGTTTGTACACCTGGTCCTTTGAAACACTGCAATTGTTACAATTGTTTATATCCATCCCCTACTCTGCTTGGATGTTCTCTCTGGGTTCAGACACATGTAACAACTGAACCATTCCCAAATATCACCGATTGGGAACCAGTTCACAACTGTCACAGGTTGGAGGTGTCCACGTGTACAGTGCCCTAGAGTTCCAGGCAGAACCTTTTAGGCACTGAAGTACTGTGGCTCCAACACCAGGAAGTGAACCGCAGCCCATCATGCCTTGCAGTGAATGAGTGGGGAGAGGGTGCTTACACTTGTCTTTTGTGGTTCCCAAGGGGTGAGTAACCTTGGCTGTGGGTGTTTTCACTTTTCTGGTTTCCTTTCTCTCTTAAACACCATGTCAGTAAACTTCAAGGGTCTGCAATTGACCAAAGTCTTCATTGTGCTCAACTGCCTTGAAGTGGGCGGAAGGGTGGGAGGGGTGCTTGGGACCACATTATCATCATCTCTGGGGCATGCTGAGGGGCCCTGGTCAAGCAGGGAATGAAGACACGCCTGATGGTTAGAACAACAGCTTTTACTGATGAACAAGCATTGCAAGGGAGGTCATCAATAAAAAGTGCTAACAAAAGGAAGGAGGAGTAGTAGAGTTCTGTCTACATACCAGAGCCAGCTGCAGGTGCAATGAAATGTGGGATACCTAGAGGACTTACCAGGTCCATGTCACAGAATGCTCGACATTCGCACATAACCCTGAACTGGTGCATTGTCAACTGATTCAAAGCACCTTAATTTTCTAGGTACCCTTTTCAACCATCCCTGGCAGCTTTAAACAGATTTTATAAGTTTGCATATCTGTCTGTTTCAGATTTAAACTGCATTTGAATCAGATTCTACATGTAATGCATGTCCATGCCTTCCCTCTCCACCACCCATTAGCTATTCTCTTTGTTTTCCAACCACAAGCCCTTTTGAGGTAGAAAACACCTTCCTCAGTCCCTGGAAAAATGGAGCAGGTCCTCAAGGAATCCATTTCTAAGCACTTGCAGAAAGTGATTAGGAACAGTCAGCATGGGTTCACCAAGGGCAAGTCATGCCTGACCAACCTGACTGCCTTCCATGGTGAGATGAGTGGCTCTGTGAACGCAGGGAGAGCTGTGGACGTGATATACCTTGACTTCAGCAAGGCTTTTGATACAGTCTCTCACGACATTCTCACAAGCAAGCTAAGAAAGTACAGGTTGGATAAATGGACTGTAACATGTACAGAAAACTGTCTGGATCATCAGGCTCAAAGGGTAGTAATCAATACCTCAATATCTAGTTGGCAGCTGCTATGCAGCTGCTATCAAGTGGAGTGCCCCAGGGGTCAATCCTGGGGCCAGTTTTGTTTAGTATCTTCCTCAACAACCTGGAAGATGGGATGGAGGGCACCCTCAGCAAATCTTCAGATGTCATTAAGCTTGGGGAAGTAGTAGATATGCTGAAGAGTAGGGCTAGGATTCAGAGACCTAGACAAATTGAAGTGCTAGACCAAAAGAAATCTCAATAAGGACAACTGCAGAGTCCTGCACTGAGGACTGAACAATCCCATGCACAAGTACAGGCTGGAAACTGACTGGCTAAGCAGCAGCTCTGGAGAAAAGGGCCTAGGGGTTACAGTGAACAATAAACTGAATATAAGCCAACAGTGTGCCCTTGTTGTAAAGAAGGCTAACAGCATACTGGGCTGCATTAGCTGGGGCTGGCACATGACTTCTGAGGAGATGAGGAGGGAACTGGGCTTATTTAGTCTGGAGAAGAGAAGACACAGAGGACTTAACAGCAGCCTTCAACTACCTGAAAAACAGTTACAAAGAGGATGGAGCTAGACTGTTCTCAGTGGTGGCAGACAGAACAAGGAGTAATTGTCTCAAATTGCAGCAGGGGAAGTTTAGGTTAGATATTACAAAAAACTGTCTAATGAGGAGGGTAAGTAAAGCACTGGAACAGGTTACCCAGAGGGGTTGTGAAATCTCCATCCTTGGAGGTTTTTAAGACCCAACTAAACAAAGCACTGGCTGGGATGATATAGTTGAGCAAAGTTAAGCTTTGAACAGGGGATGGAACTAGATGACTTCCTGATGTCCCTTCCAACCCTAAATTTCTGTGATTCTATGAATGCACACAGCCCTTGTGTGATACCACTACAATACCTGTAATAACAGTATACAAAGACTAAATGCCAAGCATTTAGTTCACTTCTTACCTTGCCAGGATTTTGACTTTTGAAAACCAAGAGATTCCTTAAGAAGTTGGCCCCAGTGACCCATCCTTCAGCTAAGTGACGGCACAGCTCTGGTACGCTGAGTAACTGAGGGTGAACATAACCCCAGCTACAGGAAACAAAAGATTAGTGAGCGAATGACTTCTGGGACATAAGGTTTTACTAAGCTAACATCTGATCTTGGAACTCTTCATTATAGAAGCCTCAATATAAAACTGCTTGCTCCCTTCTCCCCCCACTGGCCAAAGTCAAAAAAAGAATAGGTGCTTTGAGAAAGTCAGACAGCTTGCCTACAAATGAGCTTGACATTTGACATTTCAGTAGGAACAAGGGAGTGCTGCAATCCAGGTCCCTCAATTCTTTGCTCAAGAATGCAAAAACTACCATGCTCTTGGATGCCAAAGACAAGCAAAAGCTAAAAGTAATCATATGCATCTTTATTAGAACATAATAGCTTTGCCAATACCCAACCAAATTTAGAATTCATTCATTTTGTACTCATAATACCAACATAATGTCAGTGTCAGTAGTTTAGAGTAACTATAGGTTATAGTAATCTGGTTAAACCCACCATGAGTCTGCTTCCTCCATAATATCAGTGGCATTAGAAGAACTGTAGATTATAGTAATCTGATTAAACCCACAACGAATCTACTTCCTCTATAGGTGCCACAGAGGCAGACTGACTTGTTCAGTATCAACCGTACCTTGTCATGCATCCACAGATGCATCTCAAGCAGGTCCAAGGAGGTGATCCTCCCCCTCTATACGGCACTGGTCAGGATGCAGTTGGAGTACTGCGTCCAGTTCTGGGCGCCGCACTTCAAGAGGGATGTGGACAACATGGAAAGGGTCCAGAGGAGGGCCACTCGCATGATCAGGGGGCAACAGGGCAGGCCCTACGAAGAGAGACTACGGGACCTGAACCTGTTCACAGCCTCCAAAAGAGAAGGCTGAGGGGGGATCTAGTGGCCTGTTACAAAACTAGTCAGGGGGGATCAGCAGGCATTGGGGGAGTCCCTGTTCCCCCAAGCACCGCCAGGAGTGACCAGGAATAACGGTCACAAGCTGGCAGAGGGTACATTTAGGCTAGATATCAGGAGGCGCTACTTCACGGTCAGGGCAGCTAGGATCTGGAACCAACTTCCAAGAGAAGTGGTGCTGGCTCCTACCCTGGGGGTCTTTAAGAGGAGGTTAAATGAACACCTTGCTGGGGTCGTTTGACCCCAGTAATCTTTTCTGCCATGGCAGGGGGTCGGACTAGATGATCTACTCAGGTCCCTTCCGACCCTAGAAACTATGAAACTATATAAATGTCAGTAGCAGGATAGAGTACTGAAACAGTCTTACACATTCTAGAGCCAACAGCTTTACTACCAAGTCTTCCTCACTGAATTTGAAATGAATTACATGGAACGGAACGGAACGGAACTGAAGTTCTCTCTCTCAATTTAGCCAAAGCTAAACTTTGTAGGAAGATACCTTGGGGAGATAACTAATACATTAGCTTAATTTCTGGATTCTGTTTTTGAAGTGCTTACATCACTGCTGCCAAGAACTCAGTACTGGGTTTTCCAAGTGACCTGTATGCCAGCTAATAAAATCACTTTCACTCTTAAGAGGTGACATACCACAGTTCCTATTAGTACTCATTAATGGTAAGTCACTTGGTATCTGTGCCTTTAGAAGGCAGCTTTCTTTTGTGTTCAAATCCCTTGTAAGACACTTGCTGTTTGACATCTAATTAAGTGGTTTCTACATTTAAGGAGTTTAACAAGTAGCTTTTAAAACCCTAATTTGGGTAATAGCATGAGAAGCCAACAGTTTGTGCCTAGAAAGGGACAGTATTATTAGGAAGGCCAACAGAACTAGAGTTCTAGTCCAGTCATTGGGCTGCATTAAGATCTCACTATATAGCCACTCCTAGGAGAAGCCTGAAATACATCCAGTTCTGGTCACAGAAAAAGGGAGTTTCTTGGTTCCAAGAGGAATTATTCTGTCAACATAACATATCCACCGAGAAGGAAGCTCTCTGTACATATTGTGCACGGTCTTTGTAGCACCTCCAATTTAGATGAAGGTCTACAACACTGAAGCAAACATCCCTGTTGAACACAAGAGGGAAACTAATGCAATTTGCCAAAGGTCATAACAAGAATTTGTGGCAGAAGCAAAATAGAACCCAGGACCATTTGCTTCAGCTGTTAAACAATGCTCTGAAACCAAGTCAACATGACAAACACGTGCAAAAAACATAGTTACGGCTAACATAATAAAAACACCAAACATATAAAAGAGAGGCGTAATTAATAACATACAAAAGAGAGATGTAGTTAATATTTCATACCTCTCAGTGTCTGATTCATCAGTTCTTGCCACTAAAATATTAAGAACAGATATTGCATTAGTTGCAATTTCATGCCAACTGGTACAGAATCAGCCAAGACAAGTATTACAAGTAAGCAACTACCAGGCATGTGCTGCTTTACACTGTACTATCTGAGGCCAGGACAGCAAGAAACAGCTTACCCCTGTTAGCAGCACCCAGTGTGCAGCACAGAATGATCTGGAGGGCTATTCAGCTTTATAGTTTTGCTAAAACTGCCATTCCTGTTTCCACATGTAGTATATACACCCTTTACTGTGCTGGGTGTGGACAGGAAGGGATGACTTGTTGAGATACCCAGGAGAAAAAGGTTCTTTGACACTTTACTTCCTTGAATGAGACTTGATGAGGGACCTGGGAATATGCTATTTCTCCCAACTAACCTACGTCTGGGTTACCAAGGGACTTGAATGTGGAATCCTAGGTGAACAAATACTAGAGCTGTGTGAAGCTTCGGTCCCCAATTTTATTTGGCAGAGATTCAGCAGCCAAATCTCTGATTCGATTTGGATTCAAGAGACCCTTTAATCCCTCCGAATCGATTCTGAGAGATTCAGAGACTCGGACACAGACACAGCTTTAAATGTTTTTTCTACATACCTCAAGGTACCAGGCAGCTCATCAACGGTGCAATGGTGAGGTGGATGGAGCATCCCACAAGAGTGCAGGGGGGGGCCCCCAGCATGCTCAGCAGCAGACCCAGAAGTGGACCAGAAGCACCCGGCTTGGTGACTGGTGCCTCCTGGGTCTGGGGGGGCACCTGGGGTCCCCCCATGGCCGACTGCTGAGGCGGGGGGGTGGCGGGGCTGCATGCTTCCTGGTGAACCTGAAAGTGGACTGGAAGTACTTTTGGGTTCACCGCCAAGCATGCAGCACCCCCCTCCTCCCCCAGTGGGACACACCATCCGCCCCAGCATCGCAGTGTTCATGAGCCATGCCTGGTACCTCAAGGTATGTAGAAAAAACATTTAAAGCTGTGTCTATGGGCGAATCGCTGATTCTCCGAATCAGCATCTAATCTTTAGATTCGGATTCAGCCAAACTGAATTGGGGACAGTTATCCGAATCAACGAATTGAATCACGGTCCCTGATTTGGGCCGAATCCAAATCTGAATCAAATACAGCCCATTTTGCACCCCCTTAACAAATACTACCATAAGCTTGTTTAGCCTCCTAAGACAGATGAAGCAAGAAACTGTGCCAGCTGCCATGCCTTACCTTATGTTTTACATTGTTTCCTGGCCTGCATAAAGCTTTGCACAATCTCTATTACTAGGCAGGAAACCAGCTCTTGGGAGATAGGAGATTTGGCTTTGAGGTGGCAGGTGAGAAATGCATCCAGCCTTACCTTTTTAAGGCAATGCTGACCACAAGTTCTACATGAAAAATTGTAATTTCATGTATGAGACTCAGGCAGTTGTTTTTAAAGATGTCCCCTCTGACTTTCTGAACATCAAAGTGACAATGTGATTCACCAACCATTTTTACCTTCTAAAAATCCCTGAAACCAAGCCTTCAGTGTATAACAGAGAAACCCAGCCCTATTCTGGATCCATCATTTATTTCTTGCTTATTAGGACAGGAACTTGCCTTCTATGCCGTAAGTACCCTGGGACACTATTCTAAACACAAGTTGTATAATGGGAGCTTTGTTTATTTCTATGGTATATTATAGAAGCTCCATTAGTCTAAGTTAGGGCTGGTCAAGCTCTGGTCTGTGGGCCAAATGCAGCCCACAGAGCCATCGCATATGGGCTGTGGGGCTCCCCACAAGTCTTGAAATCTGGCAGTGGGGAAGCAGTAGCAATTAATATGGCAACCCCCCCCCCCCCCAAACCC